GCTTATGCAGGGGGTCGGACTCGATGATCTATTGAGGTCCCTTCCGACCCTAACATCTATGAATCTGTGAATCTATACGTTTCTTCCTTGTACTACGACCTGGCGAGTGGTTCCTTTCGACAGTGCCGGAGCACCAAAGTTTGACGCCCCGGGGAAAGCCTGCAGCCCTCCCTCGTTTCCTGCATCTGCTCGAGCTGGGGGGGTGGATGTAGGGCCGTTTCCTGTTTGTTCTACCCTGGAGCTGCACAGGGTGAGCGAGGCTGGGCTGGGGGTGTCGGCAGGGGCCAGCGGGGTCGGGGTGCTGAGGCCTGGGGGACACTTACCCGAGTGTCATCCTGCGATGTGCCCCCACCTTGCTCTGGTCACGGGTGTGCAAGAGGCAGGGCATCAGGCGGGCTGGCTGCCTGCGCGGAGCACACTGAAGCCTGTGGAGCCGGGGGTGGGAGGCCGACGGGCACGCTCCCAGCTGTGATGGCAGCGATGGGCAGGACATGCTGGGCCCCCGGAGGCTGGCTCCAGCTCACCTGGACAACACCCCAGCGTGCAGAATAACCCGTTGTCTGTCTCCATCTCTCCCAGCGATAGCTGGCTGCCTGCAGGGGCCCTGGCACCGACGGCACCCGGCTCCTCATATCTCTGCCTGCAGTAGCCCAGAGCAGCTCTGTCGTGGATGCACCAACTTATCAGGTACCAGACACATGCACCCTGGTGTCCCCTCTACCCTCCGCTTGAGAGACGGGCTGGACTAGGGGCCTTGCAGGGGTAACTTCACAGAGCTGCAGCATTTTCCTCCACTTGGCTGTGGATGGATTCCAGTCCAAACTGGTCACGCTTGGCTTCTAGTGGCCAGAGGCTCGGCCTGGGGGTGCCCTGGGCTTGGCATGCAGGACCCCTTGCAGGCGGCTGGGAAGCTGCAAGCAGCCTGGGCTCCGTGGTTGGCAGCAGCTCCCCAGAGCCGGGGTTGGGTGCAGCCGGCAGGTTGCAAACAGCTGCTCCAGGTTCTGGCAATCTTTGCTGTACCAGCACGTGCACGCGTGCCTCGGAGTGGGCAGTGACGGGGGGCCTGAGGCAGCGCAGCCCTGGTCTCTCCCATGCTGTGGCACAGAGGTGATGGCTGTGCAGTGCAGCTGTTTGCAGCCCAGAGCCCAGTCACCAGCTTTGTGCCGGCAGCCGGGGAGAGGCCGGGGTTGTGCTGCCTCAGGCGCCCTGCACTGTCTGCTCCGAGGCGGGCACACAGCCATTTGCAACCTCCTGGCTGCAGCCAGCCCCAGCTGTGGGTAGCTGCTACCAACTGCAGAGCCCAGGCTGCTTGCAGCAGGTCTTGCAGCTGAGCTGTCCGATTCCCACCCGCTCCAAGCCCAGCCCCGCTACTGAGATGAGGCTGGCGCTGCCCCTTGCCAGGAGCACTGCACCTTTGCGGGCTTCGCTGTGCGGGGTGGGTGGTGGCGCAGCAGGTGCACCCATATATACTAATATGCAGTGCATTTTGTTTTTCTGGCCCCTTCGAAGGTAGACATTGTGCCGCGGTGCAGGCTCTGGCAGCTGTGCTGACCCGGACCCTGCTCTCCTCCCCAGCGCCCGTGCTGACGGGATGGTTGCTCGCGAGCCGTGCCACGCGGCACTGACCCACGTGCTGGTGGCCCTCTTCGGCATGGGCTCCCGGGTCCCTGTGACCTCCCTCTGGGTGGAGCTGCCCGTGGTGGTGAAGTCACTTCCAGAAGGTGAGGAGCAGGGGGCTGTAGGGCGAGGGTGGGGGGTCCAGCTGGGAGTTCGTGGAGTCTCTGGCCATGGGTTTCAGTGGGGAGCCTGGGCACTGGGGTGGGATAGAAGTGCTTAGAGACTGCTCCAAGCCTGGGAGACCCCCAGTCCCAGGGCCCAGCCCGTGTGCTGTGGAGTTGGGCTGCCCGCTGTGCCAGGAATGGGGGGTCCAGGGAGGCGTCTCTGCTCCTCACCCTCTCTTCCTCTCCCCGCAGGCTGGAACCTGCCCGCCTACCTCTCTGTCCTCATCGCCCTGGGCCCCCTGGCCCTGGCCCTGGGGCGCACG